AGATTGAGCATTGCCTTTGAAAGATGTCTTAAATTGACAAGCGCGGTCCATCCTTAGAGTTTCGTGCAGTGATTTTTTTCGAAGCTAAGATAACTCCCAAGATACGTAAAATGCCCCACAACTTTGAGTGACCCACCTTGGAATGTAAATGGCTTGTTCATTGGCTACATGTTTAGATCATGACCTTTTAATTTGTGGGTGAAAAGCGCACGCCAAAGAGCATTAAGAGACACTGCCATTCCCTGCTTTCTGGGGACGAAAACGATTTCTTCTGCGTATTTCAGATCGACAAGGATAACTCATCAGATATTAGTTTGGTTTTGGAAATCTTCCAGCGGTCGTCTCATCATCTCATTCACCATAAAATTGAACGGGAATAGATACAGTGCTCGTCCTTGATGGACACCACTTTGCGCGCGGAAACCTTTAATGAGCTCTCCGTATACTGTCACATCTGGATATTTGAGAGTACAAAGAACCTATTATGTTCACAATCTTCCGGGACATTCTTCGTTGTGCAAAGTGAACAGTTTAACCACCCGAGTTGAATGCACCCCCTGGAAATCCAGGCTTAATAAAATTGTGGGTCGTTTATACGTATGGCGTTGTTCTAGCATCTGAAGGAGCGCAAGGATCTGATCAAAGCAACCTTTATTGGACCGGAATACCGCTTGGCGCTCTTGAGGCACGAGCCACCATAAGGCGACGAAGCACAAGTAATGCTGACAATCTCATTACGACCGGGGTCAGGTTGAATTCCGCTGATTTCCTCCACGGCCTCTCCTTGAAAAGTTGCAGTATCACCGAATCTCCTCAGTTGTCTCGGGAAATTCCTTTTCTCCAGACTCAGGTGAACAGACCAGACAAGTGCCGATCGAAGACTTCAAGCCTTCTTTGAACAATGCTGGTGAAAGGTCATCCGCACCAGAATTTCGGTGGCGCTTGAGAGGGCATGTACAGTCCTCCCCCTCCCCCCTCCGAGGCCGTTCCATGTCCATTGTCCAGGGTTTCGCGTCAGCTGTAGGCTCCGGATAAGTGGTAGCCGGTGGCCACGATAACCGTTGTTCAAAGTACTCGACCCGCCAGTCGAGGAGTTCTTATTCAAGATGGTTACTCCATTCTGATCCTTAATGGTTATGCTGATAGGTGGTTTTTGGTGGACCGGTCGCACGGATCATCTGAAACACTCTACGGGCATTACATGCTCTCTGAGTCTCTTTCATTTCCTTGGCTTTTAGTGTCTATCAGAATTCACGGTCGGTGCACACGCTCACTTCCACCTGACGTCTGATGATTCGTCAAGTCAAATTATGTCCGGGAACGGCTGGAATATTTCCGAGATGTAAGCAGTGCTGCTGTTCGGTCTAATATCCAGCGCCTAAGTGGGCCTGGTGGCGCCGTACCACAAACGAAACTTCCTGTACTGTGAGAAGAAGTGGCGATCCTGTCCCAGCATGAATTCGCATCAGATGGTCTATTTGGAGGAGACGCTGGAATACGATTCTGGTAAATTCGTCCAGCATCCGGATGTGTCAGTCTCCCAGTTGCTAGGCTGTTCATCTGCATCTTACGCGGCCCTGGAAAACGAAGGGGGACGACTTCGGCCGGGATCTAACATACGTCCCGATTTGTAACATTGGTAATTGATGGCGATGTGGTCAATTTGGATTCTTGGATGGTACGCTGTTGAGTACACAATGTGGCCAGACGTCCTGGGTCATTCTAAAAGTTGATACGGCGTAGGAACAACCTGCAGCTAGCACGTAGATGAAGCTATTCGTCATTGCCCGTACGTACCGAGTCCAGTCAATCTAATTGGATCTCAGATGCACTAAGTGTGTGTATTCAGGTCACAAATAACCATAAGGTCGGATGGGGTAGGCGGACATGACAAACAGGCGGCGATCAACTCCCGCTTGTAGAACTTCTTAAAGAACGTCATCAGGTAAACTGCACAGAGGCATCTGTCAACGGTATGTGGTCAAGTAAGGATCCTTTTACCTGGTGACAAAGGACAGTGCCGACGATGCAGAGAACTCTGGATGCTACAGGTCCGCAGGCGGAACTGGTAGGATAGGACAGTTATTTCAGCAACTGCTTGGACTCATCTGAAAGTGACTGAACGTTACAGCAGTGTAAAGGTTTTCAACTTACGTAACCCTTTGAGCTATACTGAGAATGTACGTGACAATAAAGGTCAGTCGATGTAAGTGACATTCATCTCTCAGTTTTCATGACATTGAAATCTAGATAGTTCAGTTGTTAAGATGCGAACATACGGACCGGAAGGCCCTGGCACCTCGACTGCTGCTTGCAATTATGGTATTTTCTCGGCTGAGCTCTCGGTCTGAACCTTCTAAGCTATTTTCCCTGTCGAAACAACCAAGGAGGGTGCGCAACTTTTAACAACACCCAAAATCAGGTCGAAAACACTTGTATGGTGCGTCGTACATAAAGTGTATGTGGTTGCAACATTCTCGGGACTCCAACGCTATCTAAATGCACCACTGGCAACCAGCAACCCTTTTCAAGCTCCTGATTATCCTACGCCATCACACTCGCCAGTTGCTGGTATGGCCTTTCTGGTAGCAATAATATCTCCTGATCTCGACGACATCCATAATCGGTTGTTGATCAGGTGGCTGTTGATCTGTTCGCCGGGCTTGGCAATTGGCTTGCAAACGTTTCGTCACCATACGAGGAGACATCATCAGTGCGCAGTTGAGTGGGTACTTCTTCCTTGCCTGCGTGCGCTTATATAGCATTCGAGGGCTATCTGTCATCTTCTGACGTGATTGGCTACTTAAAGTGTAACAAATTTGGTGAATCTATTGGTCCATTTGTGATCTTTGTTGCGTTGTGGTCTGCGTTCCTTTGTGTCGATTGGTTATCCTCACGCCTTCTATTTTTAGTAGTTCGTTCTCTCCGGCCTCGGGTTGTATTGCGTTGTGGTCTGACGTTCTTGAGTT